AATGCCCAGGTTCCCATCCTCCAGAGGGGCTCAGAGGAACCACACAGTAAAGGGAAGAGCATCAGCATTTCCAATGGCCCTGAGCCCACTCATTTGCCGCAGGGCTTCCCGGCTGCAGAGACCTGACTGTGCTGGACTCTGCTGGCTGCTTGAGCCAATTTGTTCCACCACCACAATTAGCAGTTCATCATGGCCAAGCTGTGAACAAAGTGGCTGTAACACCACGCAGCCGGAGACGCCTCCCCTGCTAAGATTTTCCATGGAAAACCCTGCTTTGGGAGGCTAGGGAAACCACTGGCACTGGGGCGTTCAGCATCTCCCCACTACCGCACGGCTCAGGCGCTGCTCAGCCCTGCTCAGGCTGCAGGAGGTTAATGGCTTTCGAGTGATTCCTGCGATTGACTTTTCCTAAATCTCCAGTTCTTCCTTGCCTTCTATTTTTATAAAGAGAAAAGGGGGGAGGTGGTACTTACAAGGGATTTCACTCAAATAATGAAATAACTGTGATCAGCCGAGGGACCCTTAATCCGCTTTGACTCTTGTGTCCTGGGGAACGAACACGGAGATCTGAGTCCCAGTGAAGCAGGGAACAAAGTAACCCCATCCCTGCCCTCCTGGGGGAGCTGATCCCACTGCGCCACCTTAAACCAAGCTATGTATTCAGATACAGGCACATCAGCCAGGGACTTTTGGGGTGACACCGTCACTTGCTCCTACCCTGCAGCCAATGTGCCTATGCCTGTGCCTGGAGCCCCCCATGCCAAGGCAGGAACGGGTTATGTCTCTATTTCAGATGACCAAACACACATAAAAGACATCAGCTGTGTTCACGCATCTTTCATCTGCAGCATCACCTGCTCTGACAGCACCGTCCACAGTACACGGGTGTGAAAGGGAGGAACCATCCTGTTTCTTTAGGCTTTCCACAATAAATTTCTAGTTTGGAAATGACAATATTAATTATCACTTTAATAAAAATACTTCACTAAAAATCATGCAGATGATTATCCCTAACTGGAGAGAAACTTTTGAGCCCCAGAAAATAGTTTGTGGCTAATGGGGCCATCCTGGGTGCTGCAGGAAGCAGTGTTGGGGCTGTGCCATGAGCACCATGCTGCTGGGAGCTGGTTAAGCCCATGAGTCCCTTCACCCAGATCAGAAACACACCAGATGAGTAAAAGAAGTGGTTTTGCCCAAGAAAACCCAGCATGGCGTGAACTAGAGGCAGACCTGTGCTACTGAAGGGACACCTTGTGTAACAGCCTTCCTGATCCTCAAATCTGCCAATGGGGTACCAGCCAGCTTCCCTCTCCATCACCTGCCTCATCCTGGGGGGACGACACAGGGGCTGAGTCACCCCTTCTTGGGGGACAGCAGAGAGGACCCCATGGGCAGCCCTATGGCAGGGGGGACAGGTCATCCCTGGTATGGGAAGGGATTTGTCCCACCTTCATTCCAGCACAGCCCCAGCCACAAATGTACGAAACAGCTTGTGGGAATAAAACACCAGCTTAGGTCAGGAAGGGGGGGGATCTAAGCACCCAGGCTGTGATCCCCACATGTGTCCAAAGATATAATCCAGATTTGCTCCTTGCCCTGGCACCCTCTTTAATATTTTTTGATAAATTAAAATCTCTTTTTGCTGCTGAGCATCATCAGCATTAGGGTGAGGGAAGGAGGGGCCTTTCACTGCACGCAGCAGAATCACAAACTAAATCACCACCACTCTCCCGGCTGCATGGTACCCAAATCCACGGGCTGCACTTGCCTCCTCTGAGGAATTGTCTTAATGCATCTGTTAAATTAACTGCTAGGCAGAAGATGCCACGATCAGGGCTTGTTCATTCCTGCTGGGATGGAGTGGTCCTGGCTTGGGAAGGACCACTCCTCCCTGAGCCCTGTGGGGGTGAATTTGGGGATCTGAATGTTCAGGGAAAACACTCACATTCCTGGGCCATCCTGAAGGAGCTCAAACCATTTGGCTTTTTGCCTCCCCACTGAGGTTTGTTACAGCCCCTGCTAAATTGAGGCCAGTGGAGAGCACAGCTGGGTGATGCCGCCAGCACATTACACAGAAGCCCATGATCCAGTAGTGCTGTTGGGGCTGACACCCATCCCAATCCCTCTAACACCCTCAAAGCAGGGAGAAAATGCTCCTCAGACTGCAGGGCTTTAATGACAGGCTACTGCATCCATCCTCTTCTTCATAAGCAGCAACTGAGGGATGAAAAGCAGATGGCATCTGCACAGATGTAAAGCCCAAAGCCCTTTGAACAAAGGGATTGTCCTTTCCCTCATGCTGCTGTGCCCTCCTTGCCTCTGAGCCAAAACACTCAGAATCTGGCCTCAGATGTCTGTGAGAGCAGCGCAGGAAGCTGAATCCCTCCCTACGCTGCTTCTCAGATCCTCACCACAGCCTGAGGTAGTGTTACTGGGACTGAAAGCTGAGGACAGATGCTCCAGATTGTACCTTTTTGATGGAAGAACCACGTTGTCCTGTCTCTGCTCCCTGGCTGTGTCCCCAGGGAGGCCAGGCTGGCGGTCTTCTGCCTCCCCACAGGAGGTAATAGGTGACCCAGCCCCAGCCTGTGGGGTGACAGGGACTGTAGGAACATGGGTACTGGGCATGCAGCCCCACGGTGGTACCCACCATCCCTCACTGTTGCTATAGAGACAGAAGCTGGTTTTCACTGCAGTGATGCTGGCTGTTTCTGAGCGGTACCTTTGGCATGGCAGGCAGCTGGGAGAGAGAGATGAGAGATGCCATGTGGTGCTGTGCCGCTTGCCTTGCTGGGAGGAATGGGCATGGCCAAGGCAAGGCTTTTCTGGGCCTTTCCTAGTGCCTCTGTGCCCAGATCTACACTCATCTTGCAAGGGCTCACCCCAAACCCTCCCTGCAGTGAGCACAAAAGCACTGGTGCTCCCCCACTCTGGGCACTGAAGTACCAGGGAGTATGAGGGGTGCAGGCTGCAGGGGTGCCAAGGAGGAAGGTTCCCCACAAAAACCCTGTGTGGGAGCGAGCCCTGCCCTGTGAACCCCAGTTTACCCCAACTCACCTCTCCCTGCTCTCCTGCTTTGCTTTGCAGCTACACGCTAGGATGAGACCAGCTCAGCTGAAGTTACCTACAATGGCAGCTTCTCCATGCCACAATCTCCTGATCACACCAGCAAAGACCAGGATGAACTCCTTCAAAGCCATCCTGGATAGACCAAGGCAATACAAGTGCAAGGAAACCTAGACCCAGTGACATGGCCATAGACGCATCCAGCCTATCTGCAAAGGTTCAATATAAAACCTAGAATCACGAAGTGAGAGCTTCCCACAAAGCACCTCTAGGTACCCACCATCTCCAGCTACCCATAGGTGCACACACACACCTTTGGAGCTGCAGTAACATGCTCCATCCTTCCTAGGGGTGAGGATAAACGCTGACAAGTGTCTGAAAGAAAGAGAAAGAACCATAGCTCACTTCTTCACATACGTTTTTTGCAGGAGAAGGAGCCTGGCAAAGAAAACCCCTGATGGATGCCAAGCGCAGCACCATGTCTCTGCTCCCACCCCATTTAAACAAGAAGCAGCAGGGGATTGGGGCATCACCGATCACCCCCTGCTGCTCTGCCTGCTGCTGCACCGACCCGCAGCCTCCAGAGACAACCAGCAAGGCCCAGAGCTCTCCCCTTTCTGGAGCACACTCAGTGACAGCCCTTCCCGTGGGACCCTCGCAGAGCCCTCCCCAGGGAGCTCCATGGGAGGCTGGTCTCCGAAGGACACGGTGGTTCTCCTCACCACGCTTCTGCTCCAGCCTCGGCGCTGGCAGCGCGGGAGCTCGGTGACTCCCAGGGCGCTGCGCTCACGTCCCAGCTGGAGACACATGCCAGGGATAGATTTTCTGTTTAGCTTCTTTTCATGTTAATTATCAAAGAGCAAGGAATGTCAGCGGCGTGCAGCAGTCATTATCTGAATGTCTCCTTCTCACCAGCAGCTCCTGTAGGATCTCCAGCACACATGGATAGATGAGAGCGCAAGATTGTTCCCTGGCCTTGCTGGGTGTATTTTGCTCACTTGGGAGAGACAGGAGGACAGGGATGATGGGATCCTTTCATTTTGCAGGATGCACCCAGGTGGTAAGTCTAGCAGTGTCCATCACCTTCCAAACTTTAAACTCTTCTTAAGACGGAGAAAGCAGAGAGAACTGGAGGGTTCTGTGCAAACTATGGGATTTTCTTAGACAGTTGCGATGGGTGATCCGTTCCAGAGACACTGCACTGAGCATGGCTGTCACCAGTGGAAACATCAGCCAGGCTTCAAGGTGTCTGCTTGTCAGTAATGGGAAGCAGCAGAACAGTGTCTGGGTATCAAACTTTGTATTCAGTAACCTCGGACCAGTTCACAGACATCAATTAGTTCAGCCTTGCAATAAGGAAGGTCAGAGTGGTCTCCTCATTTCATACATGTTAAGACACAGGAACATTAACCTCTAATGAGGTTACAGCTAAGCAAGCAGAGACAGGGGTACGGGCAGTCCTGGCTGCCTCCCTCTAGCTCACCAGCATTGCTGGGTGTACCAGAAAACAGTCAATGCTGTACAAGACTCACCTTGAAAATTCCCATCATTTGGCATCATTACAAAATCATAGCCACGAAGACTCTGCTTTGTAACTAGACCTGCTTTGCAAAATCACCACGACTCAGCACAAGGCCTATTCAATTACTCCCTAACTAGGATGAAAATGGACAACTTGCATTTGCCCTTTACCAGACCAACCTTTCCCCACAACCCTCACGGAGCAGACTTTTGAACAGCAGATGAAAGGCTGGTTTCAACACACCACCTTCAGCATCCTGAGCACCCATCTAGGTCCACCCAGTGCAAAGCAAACCACTGAAGGGATCATTTGCATCCCCTCGGTCAAGACCTGCTCCCAGTTGACCGCGTATCTCAAAGCTGCACTGAGCTGGCTTTTGTCCCTTCCCTCAGGATAAGAACCAAACAGGGCAGGATTTCTCTGATTATTTATTATCTGTGAAGTGCCGGCAGTGTCCTGACTCTGTACAAGACACACTCCTGGGCTTACAAAAGGAAAAAGCACTGTGGCCAAAATGGTTTAGCATCAAAAAAGTTAACGAACCTGTTCTCAGGAAACCCTCGGGCGCTGCCTCCCCTGAGGACACACCAAGGTGCTGATGTCAACCACCCATAGGCAGCCGTGTAGCTTGTTTCTTTTACCTGTAAAGCTAAATTAGGCTGCTGTCCAAACACAGCTTGAGAATAGGGCAAAAGGTATGGCCCTTGATTGCTAAAACCCAATCCATTGCAAGAAACTCTTTTCAAGTGGGGAAGCAACATTAAAAAACACCACTACTCATGGAAGCTACAACTGCTTCCAACAAACAACATGTAGAAAACACTGGGAGGGAGACTCTTCAAGTATCTACTCGTTTCCAGTGGAAAGGCCGTCAAGTCCCCTGTGTTCACCAGATGGATATCAACATCTGACATGTGTTAGAAGACATCCATATCAACTCCACCAGCCTGAACTGTAAGTAGCCGAAAACAAAGCCAGACAGGACATCTGTGATGTGGTGCCGTCCGATCATGACACGGGAAAAGCCCACGCAGAGGGCCCAAAGGACCAGCAGGATCCGGAGAGGGATGGCCAAGACCAGGTGGTTGAGGAAGAACTTGGAGAGCATGGCCACCCGGCTGGCGTGCCCGGCTGGGAACGCATAGGTGTCCATGGTCAGGTAGTCCAACAAGCCAGGGGTGACATCGTACGGACCCTTCCTCTTGGCCAGCTTCTGCAGCCCAGCCACAATCATGATGTCCAGGAGCAGGGCTGTAGAATGAGAGATGAGAGAGAAAGGTCAGAGATGGAGCTGAGTCAAAGGCAAGTTTCAAGGCAGAACATTCAAGGATGGTCACTGGTTTTAGATAAAGATTTGGGTTCATTTCCACCCATGTGTCCCCGGTTCAGCTGAAGGCAGCCTCCCCATCCTCTGATCACCACCCAAATGTTAATTAACCCTCCCATGGGGAAGGCAAGTACCATTAGCACCATCTCTTTTGGGAGAAACCCAAACTGAGGAGGCAAGCGATCTGCCTGGGGAGGGAAAGAGCAACTGGTGAAGCTAAAATTAACACTCTTTTGGCCCTGAAACCACTGGACTGAGTGTCCCTGTTCCTGTCCTCCCTCTCCCTTAGCTGAGGCGTTGAACACTCACAAGCCATTTCTTGCTTCTACTCTCCTCCCTCTTCCTGGGGCTTCCTCCCTTCAAGTCACCCCATGCACCCATTTCCCTGTGCAAACATGGTTTGGGGGTAACACATCCCTCAGCCTAAGCACATCCAGGCTTGTGGCAGCAGAGGGACCATCCCTGCAGCTACACATCTTGACACTAAATCACCTTTCTTCCCTAACTGCTTTGGGAGCAAAACTCATCAGCACTTGTGTTCATTACCCTCCTCTTCACCCCACCTCCTTTGTCCCAGCCGACTGGTACTGTCGTTTCTATTTCCTAGCATTGATTTTAGTTTTCTTTAATCCACTCATCTGCTTTTCCCCAGCCCTCCTCATTAGCCAGAGTGCTGATTTCAGCTCCTCGCAGCGATGACAAGGAAATATAGAGCATCATGAGCACAGCCTGCTCCTTCAGCAGGAATGCAAGCAGCCAGTCGCCTGCTTCCTCTCCGCTGATAAAGACTGTTCCTTGAGAGCTGACAAGGTTTCAGGAGGATGGATGGGAGTGCGGCGGTGGCAGGGGATGGGAAATGAGGTGGCACATTGGAGGCAGGCAGCTCCTCCTGGCAGGAGCTGTCACGGCAGCTCTGCTTGCCTGCCTCCCGCAGTGCCACCCCTGCACAGCCAGCCTCCGGCACTGCTTTGGGATGCAGATGGGGTTTATCCTGGCCAAATTCTCTCCTTATAGAAGGGCTATTCTCATCTGCAGGGTATCTTGCATGGGGAAGGGGGACAGCAGGAACTCCTTGGACTTCCTGCAAACCAGGTCCTGCCCGAGCCACTCCTGGGTTCTCAGAGCTGTGGAGGAGAGATGGAGCAGGGGAAAAGGTCTGGGTACCAGCTCCTTTATAGTGTCAACAGCAGCACAGGCCACAGTGGGAACACAATGAGAAGCAGAAGGTGGAGATGAAGGAAAGGTTTATAGGTGGTGTCTGAATCAAGGTGTGAGGCTGCAGATGCAACACCAGCAGTAGCAATGGGCTTAGGAGGACAAGGACAGACAGGACACTGAGCCTGCCTGATGTGATGGGCAGAGAGAAGGGGGAGGTCCACAGCCAATGGAGGGGGACCCTGGCACAGAGTGGATCTCTGTATTTGATGGTTTGTGGATATGTTATTAAGGGGCTGGCTGGGAGGGGAATGGGAGGGAGGAATTTCAAACCCAGCTGGAGCAGCCAGTCTTGGGGATTTCCTGTTAAAGCTGAATGCTGTCAGCATTGATGGTAATGAAGTGCTGAAGCTAACCAGCAGTATTGCTGTGTCTGGGCAGCCACGCGGCTCTGCTGACGCTGGGCTTCCTAAATCACCCTGAGCCCAGCTCCTCACGCCAGCAAGGTGACCCTTCCACAGCCTCGATGCAGCCAAGTCCTTCAGCTCACCAGCTGCATTGCTCATGGGTCCCATCTCACCTGGACAAGAACTGGGTGAGAACTGGCTCCTTGGGATGCAAACTCAGGAGCCCAGGCACACACATTCATTTCAGCAAAGGTGATGCACCAGTGCTGCCAAGAGAAGAAGCTGCTCCTGCTGAAGTCAGCAGCTTATTGCATTGCTGAGGAGCTCAGCCAGGGCTCAGGAAGTACCCCAAAGTACCCAGTGTCTCCTCCATGGTGTACAATACACCTGTTACACACCATTCCCTGTGAAATCTGCCTGCAGATCAGCAGCACAGATGTATTGTGCTTTACTGATGGGTGGTGTTCACCAATATCTGTCAGTATTTTGCACCTCCAAGATTTTTTTATGGGCAAAGGGGATGTCAGGGCAACCTGAGGGATTCAGGCCTGTGTGCATGGAGGTCTTCAGGGCATGGAGAATATGCCAAAGAGCTGGTTTAATAGTCCTTTCATTCAGCAGACGACTAAAATGGGCCTTCAGTACTGCTAGGTTTGGTTTTCATCAAACGGTGCACAGAAAGCAGAAAGCCTCCTTTGCTCACATTTCAAGATCTGAAGGCATGACAGCATTAAAACTGGGGTTAATCTGCTGTTGAAATCAAACCTCCCCAAGATCCCTCTGTCTGGTGCTTTCTCTGCCTCTTCCCCTTGCACTTTCTGTTCCTTCCACCCAGTTCCATGAAACAACTGATTTATGGAGCAGCCCCAGCAGCCTGCCCTGCCCCAGCCCCTAAGGTACTGGGGGTCCCAGTGCCCTCACCCAGCTCTGGGGCTCAGCAGAACCTCTGTGCCCCTGCCCACTTGCTGCTGCGCTGCCAGGGTGAATCAGCACAAGCACTGCTGATGATGGTGCTGCCAATGGGGCACCCTGCAGGGGCAGAGATACTCAGCAGCCCCAGCCTGAGCCCTATTCCCTTGCAATTCCTTGACCTACATACCCACTTGGACTTCAGCTCACTTGCTTTTGCTCCTTAATGCAAACCAAATCCTCCCTCCTCATCCATTACGGGATTAACTTTCTTATGGGCATCCTTAGTGATGGGTCCAGCTGCAGATGGGTATCTCTGGTGCCTACTGGCTACTGCTTGCACCCTTAATCTTGCACCTCCCAGAGCAGCCACCTGCAAAGCAGCAGCATCACCTTCGGTCTGCCCTTTCCCTGTCCCTAACATGGGAAGGAGATGAGCAAATCCTTCAGTGACCCGACTAAAGGCTGGAGGAAATACAGCCCGGGGAGGGACTGCAGAAGGGAGCCTGCAGCTGATTTAGCAGCCTGCACTTGCGTAATGCTGCTCTCTGGAGACAGGCAGACGGGGCTGTCGGAGCGCAGCAGGGATGGCAGCGTGCCTCCTGACCGAGGTGAGAGCAGAGGAGCAAGAAATCTTCATTTAAAGTGATTTTTTCATCATGCCCGTTCCCCAGATCCACGCAGCACTGGATTTAAAACAGAGGCAGCATTGGATATAAACTCCAGGTAGCACTGGGTATAAAAGAGCAAAGGAAGGATTAGCTTTCACATTCTTCTGAAAATGACCCATAATTTCCCTTTTGACCTGCTGTCAAAGGGAAACAATCCTTCCAGATTCCCCCTGCAAAACCATCACAAAAAGCTCCATTAACACCGAAAACTTCCTTAAAGCACAAAACCAAAGAGCAAGTCCTGTCTGCCTGCTACAATTTTAGCACCAGAGATCACCTTGGTATGTAAATAGCCAACATCTGGCATCAGATGCACAGCAAATGAGCTGAAAGTGAGCCCCCTGGGCAGACGTTTTATATCTATTAATAAGAAAAGGAAAACAATTATCTGCCTTGCTCCTGCCACCAAACCTTAGGAGCCCATTAAGAGCAGAGAGGCAAGCCCTGAGCAGGCAGGGCACAAGGACAAACCAGAAGCATCGTTGCAGCAGAACCAAGCCAAACCCCAAAGCTCATGTTTATGAAAAGTTGAACCCGTTGGACGTCCCCTGTCACCATAAGGTCCTTTTTGTCCCATAAGGTCCTTTCTGCCCCAGCTGAGGATGAGGATGGAGCGAGCACCCTTGGGGGCATCCATTGCCTGCCCCACGTTGGAGCCAGGCAGCGTCTCCAGGGACAGAGGAGGATTCCAGCTGAGATGTTTACATGAACATGTAATCCCAGCTGAAAAACACCCTGGGTGTAGTGATGGGGGCAGAGAGGGAGAAAGGAGAAAGCCAAAAAAGCCCTTGGCTTCATCCGCTCCTGCAGCCGTGATTCATGTGACTCCGTGCACATGGGGCTGCTTGGATGAGACAGAGCCCAGCCTGTGAGACTGGGATCAGAAACAGCCACAAGCTGGACTATGAGCTGTGGGGAGAGGAAAAGGTGGGGGTAAATGCCCAGGAACAAAGAGCAACCCCATCCTGTGAGCTCAGGAGCAACCAAGGGCATTGAACACCCCATCTGCCTGGCCCCAGCACTGTCTTAAAGCAGAGACAACTTGTCAATAACTCTTTGCCTGTGCTTCAGAACCTGCAGCCTGCTCCGACCCGGGTTACTCTGTGCTACACCACCACCACTGAGATGGCACGTACTCCCCACTACAGCTGGCTTTGAAGGTGCTGTATTCCCGGATCAGCCACTCAGGGCAGATGTCACCATTCCCAGAAAACAGGGATTTTTTTTGCTGCACAATTAGAATTCATAATAAAGAATTCATTCATTATTATTATAATAATGAATTCATTCATTTTTATTATAATAATGAATTCATAATAATGAGCACTGCCTCCTTCTTGGGAAGTCCCTGTTTCTGAACTTCCCAAATCTCCCGCAGGCATTAGGCTCCCTGACCTGGAAAACGAGCTGTTTGCAGCCTTGATACTAATGCAAGATGCAGGTTTCAAAAGCATCTCCAACCCCTCTCCGGTGGAGTTGGTGGGAGCTGGAAGAGATCCACTCCTCTGCAAGTGAACTCCTTTACTCCATTTTCTTCCCCAAATGTGGTACTATTGGGTGTAAGAGCTGAGAAAAGGCACAGATGGCAGGACACGCTGGAGAACCAATGAATCAGATGCTGGAGCATTTTGGTGGGAGGTTATTTTTTGGCTGAACAAGCAGCAGCATGGGATAAGTGGCCACAGGGAGGTGAAGAATAATGGTGGAAAGCTGCATTGTACAATTAATAGTGAAAAAAACCCAACCAACAACTAAAAATAGAGCCGCTATATCCCAGATGAT